TATGCCCCTGCCAGGACCCACTTGGCAGAGAGCATTTTTCTGAGTGTGTGTGGGTGTGTTGGGGGGGGAGGATGTGGGTTAGAAATAAACATAAAAATAAACACATAAAGATATACAAGTATAGAAGATGGAGGATCGGGTGGGCCTGACTTCTCTGATGGAGATAGCTGTGACACCAAACCTATTTCAGGTTTATTATTTTATCAGGCAGAAAATAGGGGAAGAGGAAATGGAATGCAAAGCCAGTTGTTTTCAGATGTTAATCAGCTGAAGATGTGAAAACTACTGGCCTTGTAGTTTTTCTGATCTTTTGGGACAAATTCTGAGGCATCCTTAGACAGATACTGCTTTGCAGTTTCAGGCAATTAACATATTCACATACAAATTGCTTTCATTGCTATGCAAATTAAGCTCATAGAACTGCATCTGCATGTGTCTAAAGGCCACCATGTTTGCTCAGATTAGCCGCTCTCCACATGAACCCAAGGAGAGGAAGAAGTAACTACAAATAAGTCACCCCTCTCATCATCTAAAGAGGTTCCTGAATGGGTTATCAAACCCAGCCTACCTGTGGTCCCCTAGACTGAGGGCTAGTTCTAGCTTTAAGGCCCAGTGGCAGCTCCAGAACCAAAGCCATAAAGCTTCAGAATAGGTTGATCAAAAATGGACCAGCAGTTAGTGTAATGGCTATGTCATTGGACTCCCATGTAGTCGACCGCAGTTCGCGTCCTGGACCCGGTGGCTTAAACTCACGCCGGGCGCGTGTGCATGCGTGCCCAAGATCCCGAGAGGAGAATGGAGGAGAAGGGATCATGGCGTGGCCATCCCCCCTGGGGGGTGATTTCTCACTTTCTATCTCTCTGTCTTTCTCTGTCTGTCGAGCATACGTGCCCTATAGCAAAAACCTCTCCAAAAAAAATGGAACAAAGCAAAAAAATTTTTTTAAAAAAGGGGAGAGCTGGCAGGTAATGTGGTAATTGCAGTATTGGACTGCCCACCTGGCTGACCATGGTTCAAGTCCCAGACATGGGACCTTGCTTTCTCACTTTCTCACTTTCTCTCTCTCTCTGTCTTTCTATGGTCAAATTTAAAAATATTAATAATTTTTTTTAATGGAACAAAGGAGGGGCCAGCAGATGGCATGGTGGTTAAGGCACTGGACTCCCACATGGCCAATTGCAAGTTGACTCCTAGACCTGAGAGCCTGCTTTCTCACTTTCTGCTTCTCCCTCTCTCCCTCTCTCCCTCTTTCTCTCTCTCTCTCTCCCTCTGTCTCTCTGATCAAATTAAAAATAATAAGAAGAAGATAAAATAATTCTGGGAAAAGAAAAAAGAATGGAACAAAGCTTGCAGGCCCATACATACAGAAAAACATGTCATAAGTGAGATGGCCAGCTTTAGTTTGGGTGCCCAAACTATATAGTTGCTGGAAAAGAACATTAAGCTCAAAATCCTCCCAGCAACATTAGCTTTAAATGCATACAATGAAACACACTAAACAGGCTGCCATTTAATCCATTTTCTACTTTAAATTCCCCAGGACCATAAAACCTCAAAACTTTATCGAGCACCTCAGGTAATTTTTTTTCATTATTTTTTTTGAGAGGTTTTTGCTATAGGGTGCGTACGCTCACCAGAAAGACAGAGAGAGACAGAGAGATAGAAAGTGAGAAATTACCCACCCAGGGGGTGGCCGTCCCACAATCCCTTCTCCTCCATTCTCCTCACAGGATCTTGGGCATACACACACACACGCACCTGGTGTGAGTTTAAGCCACCGGGTCCAGGACTCGAACTGCGGTCAACTACATGGGAGTTCAGCGACATAGCCATTATGCTAAC